CCCCCCCCCCCCCCCCCGACCACCGCGGGGCGTGACGGGGCCCAGCACCAGATAAGTCTGGTCGTTCTCCCGGGCCACACGATGCCCCTCGGGCCGCGCGGCCGGGACGCCCGCCGGCCGCAAGCCCGCGGCGTCTCACTCGAGAGACCAACTTGACCGGACGCCCCTCCTCTCCGAGAGGGGGCTAGCCGGCCCCTGCCCCGCCCCCCGGGCCGCGAGGCCGCCGGCGAGGTGTGCGCCCGCCGGTCGCCTGCAACCCACCACCCGACGACACGGCGCCCCACGCGCCCACAAGCCGGCGCATTCCTCCCGACTGGGCTCGCGGCCCGACGACCGCCCCTCGCGTCGGCCCACCCCTGCGGAGGACGCCCCCCGAGCGAGGCCCACGCGTTGTTGCCGGCCCAGCCCCGGCGGACCCGGCGCGGCGTCGCCACCAAGAAGAGGAACTCGCACACGCGCGCGCGCGCGCGCACACACACACACACACACATCACACGCGCACGCAACACCGGCGAGCAAATATCCCCCGCCTGACAGACTTTATATTGCGGTGTGCCGAGCCACGCGCCTCGCACGCCGGCAAGCCCGCCCACCCGTCGGCGCGGCCGGCGGTTATGCCGGCCCCCGTCCCCCCCCCCCTCCCCCCACCCCCCCGCGCGCGTGCGGACAGAGGTATGCATCAGCCTACGGACACCGCGCTCGAGCCCCTCCCCCGGCCGGGGGGGACCGCACCGAGTGGAGGGCCAATTCCCGGAAACCCATGCCCCCCTGCTGCCCACAGCCCGGACCAAAGGAGAGGGCAGCCGGCCCCGCCCTGCCCCGCCCCGCCCCGTCCCCCGAGCAGGCTGGCCTTTTTCCCGAGGCACACAGCCATCCAGTGAGTGCAGCAGGCCGACCGGCCGGCCGCCGCGCACAAATCGGTCTGAAACACGTAGGCCGGCGAGCCGAGACCGCGCCGGACGCCGCGCCGGCAGCAGCCCGCCGCCGGCCGGGGGGGGGACCACATTTTCACAGGCCCCCTCCGCCCCGCCCAGAGCTTCCCCTGCCGCCCGCCGGCTCGCGGGAGAGCGCGAGGGGGGCCGCGCCTCGCTGCTGCTGCGCTGCGCTGCGCTGCTACTACACACGCACCACATAATAGGGGGCTCCCCGCCCGGCTGGTGGAGGATGAAAAATAAGAAGCAATGGATCTCGGCTGAACAAGGCGGCATCGGTGTGAGTGTTTTATGTTGTCATGTGATGGCGCGAATGCGCGCCGCCCTTGCCGAGGTGGTCGTGTGCCTTTCGACCCTTGGGGGCGCCCGCCGGCCAGCATGAGCCCGCGGGGTAGAATGCCGGTGCTAAAGGCTCGTAGAACCATCAGGCTGCTGAATCTGCAGCTGCAATTCCCAGATGCTGGCCCCCCCTGCGGGCACCCCCTGGGGCCTCTCGCCCCGGCTGGCGCCCCTCCGCCGGGGGCCTGCCGATATCCCCAAACAAAGGCCCGAGGACGCGCCGGTCGGAGACGACCGCCGAGAGTGTGTCTGAGGGGGTGTGTGTGTGAGAGAGAGAGAGAGAGGGCAGAGAGAAAAAGAAAGACAGAGGCCAGGGGGGCTCGCGGCCAAGAAACTACGCCGGTGCTCCGCCGGGTCAGCGGAGCCGGGGACCGGAGAGGCTGGAGAGCTCCCACCGGACGGCTGCCCTGTGCTCCGTCACAGCCCCCGCTGCCGTTTGTGTCCCGCGTCTGATGGCTTGACGATGTCGCGGCGGCCTTTGGCCCTGCCTCCCCCCCCCCCCCGACTCCCCGCCCCAGTCGCCCTGCCCGCCTGGCAACAGCCACACTTCACCCCGGCGGAGCCCGCGCCAGTTCACAGCCGCCGGACATCCAAACGCGCACAGACACACGGCCAGGAAGCAGGGCACCCCCCAACATCCCCAAGGGATGGGGATGTTATTATTTCCGCGCTCTCGTCCTCCCCACCCCCATTTCCCGGGGCCGCCCCAGCACCGGCCCTTCTTCGGGGCAGGGCGCCACGCTCCGAGGGGGGGGGGGGGGGGGGGGGGGGGAGGGAGCCCCCGCCCCCCTCCGTCTGCCCGAACGCCCGAGGGACGAGGCGCGGGAGGACGATCTGGCCGGGGCTTCTTTTGCCGGCCGGCCGCGGCTGCCGTCACCGTGACAAATCACCCCATTCCCCCCCCCCCCCCCCCCCCCCCCCCCCCCCCCCCCCCCCCCCCCCCCCCCCCCCCCCCCCCCCCCCCCCCCCCCCCCCCCCCCCCCCCCCCCCCCCCCCCCCCCCCCCCCCCCGCTCCTCCCCCAATCGCACCCCGGCACACTACCACCACCTCGCTGAACTGGCAGCCACGGTAGGCTCGAGGGGGCGCACAATAGCCACACCCACGCGCGTGTGCACGCTCCTCACGCTCAGCGGCCCCCCTGCTTGACATGCTCCGGCTCGAGCATGTCTTCCGCTTGGGCCATGAGCTGCGACTCTTTTCGGCCGCCTCGCCGGGGCCGATCCTGTCGTTGCACGCGCCGGTCGACCCCTCGCGCGGATCCGGCGCCTTCTCCCTGCCCCGGTCTTCCCTGAGTGAGGAGGCGCGCCTGAGTGCCTCGGCCCCGCCGCCGGAACTCCCCGGCGGCCTCCCCCCCGGGCGTCTGTCCGCCTCGGAGGGCGGGGCACGCGCGCGCCACTGGGGCCTGCGCCTTGTGGGCCAGGAGCGCGGCGACATCCTCCTCTACACCTGCGACGGCCTGTTCTTGGTGCGTGCCCTGCCGGCCTCCCTGGCACCGCCCGCCCTCAGCCCGGGTACCCCCCCCCCCCCCCTCCGTGGCTCTAACACCAAGCACCAATGCCACTCCCCACCGGGCCGGCCGAACCCCCTCGCGACTGGCGCATCGCCACCCCGGGCACATGGGCGGCCGGCATCGCCGGAAATGGCCCCAGCCCAACCAGAAGACCTTCGGCACCATTCTCTTCTCCTACAACATCAAGCAGTCGCGCTCGACGCTCATGTACCTTTCCTGGACCCCGATCAACATTGTCAATGCCACACAGAGCCACGACGAGTCGATTTTCGGTGCGTCACACGGACCGGGGCGCCTCCCTTCTTTTTTTTTTGCCGCCCCCTTTCTTTGCCGCCCCCTCCCTTCGCCCTCTCCCCCTCCCCCGCTGACCTGACTCCCTGTCCACGCCTCAACCACGACCCCGGGTGCCACATGGCCAGGCTTCGTCACCTTTCAGCAGGGGCCCCACCCGGAGAAGGGAGATGATGGCACCCTCCTGGACCAGTACACCTCGTACCTCGGCACGCCTGGCGGTGCTCTCCATCGGATGTACAGCAGCGACACGTACCAGCGCCTGGTGATGATCGATCACCGTCGGAATGAGGATGACAAGGTTCGCCCCCAATCGCGGGACCCCCTCCTTGGCCCGCCGCCCCGGCTGCTGACTGTCCCGCTCCCCCCCCCCCCCCCCTGCTTGCTCGCCGCTCGGGCCCTTGGCCGGCCCCGCGTCGGTCCCACGCCAGCCGAGGTACTGCTTTCTGAGGCTCATGCAGAGCGGCGCCACGCTCATGATCAGCGCCGTGGTCCAACGCTTCAAGTCCACTCCGGACCGCCTGAACCAGGTGAATATCCTGGACCGCGAGCAGGTCATCTCCCAGCCGGCCATCTGGTCTCAGTGGGACATCAGCCGGCAGCTGCTCTATTACATCACCTTTTCCAGCACGGTGCGCCCATCACCGCCGTCCGCCCATGCTCGTTCCTTGGCATTCGGGCCAGCCCCGCGCCCGGGGCATCCTCCTCGCCGGGCCCTCCCCTCCGCTCGCCTCACACGCATACCCCCCCCCCCCCCCCGCCCGAAGACCATGAACGCCCTGGTCCTGTACATCCTGGAGTTCCTCTCGGACCCTGGCTCCCCTACGCAGGTTCTCCGGCGGATCATGCTCCCGCCAGCCATGTCCCACTCGATCATCCAGCATGCCAATGCGCCGCCGCACATTGGCACCGCCGGCCCGCGCTTCGCCACCCCTGGCGCCCATCCGATTCCCCGGACCCCGGAGCTTGATTTCCTCCTCATGTCCGCCTCACGCGGGGCCGTCAGTACGTCCCCTCGCCCGACGTGCACCCATGCCGACATGCCCCGCTTCCCCCTTTCCCCTCCTCCTGCTGCTGCTCCCCCCCCCCTCTCTCTATCCGGTGATTGCTCCTGCTGCCCCCCTAACATGTCTCCCACCGCAGGCCGCAACCAGATCGAGTGTGTCCTCCTGTCGAATGGTGCTCTGGCTCTTTGCCACCATGGTGCCCCGTGTGAGGTAACTCGCCAGCTCCGGGTCTCGGTCTTCATCATGTCGGCCCTGGAAATCAACCACTCGGTCGATGAACCGGAGGACTACCCCTCGGAGCAGGATGAGGCCGAGGTTATGTCCTCCTCGGTCGGGCGTTTCCTCGAGTGTGTCGTCCCGCTGTCGGTCGTCGATCCGGCGCAGGCCCCCCTGGCGCGGCTCTGCTTCACGACCTTCAGTACGCATCATCTGCCTCCCTGTCGCCCCTTCTTTCCTCGGCACCCCACGCGCTCTCCCTCTCTCTCTCTCACACACACACACACACACCCAAACAAACAAACAAACACACCCATAGACAACCTTCTCATCATCTACCTGCCGGGCATCTACATTGGCATGGTGGACTGCTCGATTCCGATGCAACCACGCACGTCCCTGGCCTTCACCGGCCCCGCGCTGGCCACCTGCCTGCCATTCCAGCAACCCGCTGCCCAGAAGGCTGCGCTCCCATTCGTCACCCAGTTTGAGGTCATTCCGAATGACTTGACCGGCTGCAGTGCGTACTCGCCCCCTCTCCCTCGTCGCGCCCTGCCATGCCTCTCCACCTCACGGCGGGCACACACACACACACACACACACACACACACACACACACACACACAATGCACTGCACTCTCCCCGTCTGCCCCTGGCCCCACCGTGCCCACGCTCACCCCCCCACGAATGCAGACTCCATTTACGACTGCAAGACCGGCACCGCATACCGGTTCTCCCTCGATCCGACCACCATCCGCAGCCTCTTTGTCCTGCC